GACCCACTCTATCAACAAAAACCCCAAAACCCCAGGAATTATGCAATTTATGAATGCAAAAGTGAAAAATAAGGAGACCTTTTTAAATGCTTATTTTTTGATATCCATGAATTAAACGATAATTATAATAAAAATGAAAAAGACCGATTTATAATTTGGCAACTTAAATCAGTTGAAGTAGCACTCTAATAATGACAGATACTAGTAAGTTTTGTTTTTACTTATGATTACATCTTAAGGTAAAAATCAGTGCTACATGAGGATAGCATCGGCTAAGATAATCTATACATTAGCACTGGGCAGCATGAAATAGAGCAGCCACATATTGTCAATAATGATACTAATTCTTCAAAAATATAATCATAGCAGTAACAGTATTTGCCTGATATCATTGAGCTCCCTGATCTTAACATTCCGATTAATAAAACTTCGAGATATGGAATAGGAAAGCCTAAATTGAATTTGAGACCGCCAAATCTAAATTTACTGAACTCTACGCTGTTTTCCCCAGAAAATTTAATGAGAATCACTAATAGGCCAAAGACTAAGACCAAAATAGAACATACACCGACAAGTAAAATAGTAAATTAATCTCTAGATCTGCGAAAATAAATTAGGAAACTCAACAAGAGTATCAATATTTCTGGAATAAGTAATGTTGACGACATGCTGAATGCTTACCAAATTGCTGGATTTGATAAGCTTGGCATTAATGTCTAAAATCTCATCAAAAAAAGAAAAACTAGGAATAGTCCTCGTAAAATGGATGAGTAGACTTATAATAGTGTTGGAATCAAGAACAAAGGTATAAGTTAAGAAGTAATATCACGGTATCTAAATCAAGATACCACTTTGGTAGAGCAAGAAAACAGCAGTTCATAATAAGACTCACTCTCAAAGCAGTATCCGAATCTAAAGTCAAACTTATTTTCTTCGAGAGTTATCGAGAATGAACTTGAAAAAAGAAGGACAATTAATGATTTCAGTGCAACTACCTCACTAACGCCATTTGAATAATCAGGCAGATATATATCAGATAAAACAAGAGTAGATTCTATTTCTCCAACAAACCTGATGCAGCACATCAATATTTAAAACATGTAAAAGAAAAGACGCCAATATAAGTTCATTAACAGCTCAATTGACTATCACTAAATTCCTAGAAACTTAATAACTCTTTAAATGACCGATCAAAGAGATTAGCTATCTCGAACAAAGATGCAATAACAAACTTCAACAAAAGAAAACCTTTTCTAAACAAGAAACAATGAGATAATAGAGTAATTGAGTACTGATTTGCAAAAGAAGTAGGAACTAATTGAAAGACTTTCAAATGAGAATGAAAGACTATAGATGAGGATTAATAAGATGCAGCTATAAATAGACTAGAATAAAACACAAAGTGAAAGAAATGTAAGCAATTACCACTAAAACTATATTTTTAGGGATTTGACTTAGATAGAATTATCAAAATGGCAAATCAGTTAGAGGATCAAGAAGACTTACTATCACAAGCTATATAAGAAAGTCTAATTGAAAGAATTGATTGCTTTGCATTTTTTTAGAGAGTATAAATCCTTGATGCTGAATTAAAGAACCAATAAATACGCCATGACCTTTCATCATAGCATTAAGATACCAAAATCAAACTTGTACTATAAATCTCATTTACATTTTTATATCTAGTTAGAAGATGCTTTAACCAAAAGGAATCATGATTTTGACTTCGCTGAAGATAACAATAGATAACTGCTATCACTATTAGAAAAATATGACTTAAAACTTGATGAGTTATAGGAGGAGAATGAGATAAAAGAGATGAAGCTATATGAATATGAAGCTAAGGTAAATCCTAATATAATGAATTCAACTCAGACATCTAAAAAGCAAGAGATGAATCAGGTCTTAGCTGATTACCCATAAATAAATTCAAGTGAAAGCATGTAGCTGGTGCTGAAGATTGATTAGATTGATTCTAAGATAGAATTTATTATGAAGGTTTTGAATAGAATTAGAGAAGTACATTGTAATAATCCTTAGAAATATTAGAATTAGAATCAAAAATAAAAATAGTAAAGGGAGCTTGACATTGAAACTTCTGAAAAATTAGTCTCAGAATTGTTTAATAAAATCAGACTATTTGAAAGAGGAGGGAAGATCTAATTTCCAGACAAGACAGGAGGAGTTCTTACTCCTTAGGAAATGAACTAAATATAAATTGTTATGACCGACAATGAGGACGAGCAATACACAGTGCTAATAAATGAAAGTTAGCTTCTTAACAAACTGAAGGATACCAAAATATCCGAATCATCTTTGCTTGTTGAAAAACTCAGACCATATGATAGCAGTAAATTCTGAAACTACTTTGATTGCAATTTCGCTTGCTTCTTTCACTATATTAGATAAATAGCAAAAAAACGTTATATCATAGTTTTCGATAAATTAAATTTTGGAATTTATCAAATTAAAAAAAACAAATTATCCATTAAATATGTATATCTGGGGTTTTGGGGTTTTGGGGTTTTGGGG